AGAAAAAAATAACCAACTTAAAACTATGTAAAGAGCAAGCAGGTATTGCAGTAAAAAATTAACGTTTTCTGGCTAAAACATAACTTCAAAGTACTCTGAAGATTTCAAGCATCAGAAACCTATTCCTATAGCATACTCATTCCAAAAGGTAATCACCTTTCATTAAAAATATGCCTTCTTAAAAGGTTAATTTGCTGAGTTGCAGCTTGCAAAATTAGCTTTTATTCTGACGTACTTTTAAGCACCTAGGATAGTCTTCTCAGAAGGATAGTTAAATAAAAGTAATCTTTTTATAAGCTTAAAAGTGGCATTGTCTCAGAGATCTGCGTTATTCCTGCCTTGCACACGGTTTTCCAACATTTACTTCATCGTTATGTTAAGTTATTACTCAAAGCAAGCAAATACCTTGGCTGGTAACAAAAATTTTTCAATTCTAATTTATCCTGTCTGTAATAACAAAAGAAGAACAGAGACACATACCAAGTTTGTGGGGTTTTTTTTTGTGGTGTGTTTTTTTTCTTTTTAAATTACCTCTAATAGCACATTGAATCCAACTGCTGCACATACATCTTGGATTTCTGTAGATGTGGGATTTTCAACCGCCTGTTGAAATAATGTGTTACAGTTAATTATTTATCAATAATGAACTACCTATACAGCAATAGTTAGCAGTTTCCCACTCTATAACTAGAAAAAGCAGATGGGGAAAGAGAGGGTACTTCAAATAATGACAAATCTGTTTTAGATGTCACCTGTGAGAGCTCCTATGGTCTAGAAAATACAAAAAAAAAAAAAAAAGGAGGTAAGACATCAGTAAAACAGGAAACAGATGAGACAGAATTAATTAGGAGAGGGGAGCAAGTAAAAGAATTGCTTAGGAAAAGTAACTGAAATAACATTTATTATATTTACAAAACCCCTAAAAGCCATGAATCAGCAACCACAAACTTATAGCAAGGACTGAAGGAGAAAAGAATAGAATAGAAACTTTCTAGGCACAGGGCAGCAGATTCCTCCCATAGGTAGATTTTCAACTGGCAACTTGCATGCTCAAGAAAGATTTTATTTTTAACTATTATCAGGAAAAAAAAATCAACCCTAAGCAGTGAGAAAAGACCTTTATATTCCCAGTACTGCTTGTTAAAAGTATTATAAAGGAGTGAGATGATCAAAAACTATTTCTGGACAGATTAAAAGCAACAACAACTACCAAGTCTATGTGTCACATGCACGGTAAGTTCTATCTTTGACAGCAGCAAAGGAAACAGGGCACAGAATATAGTCAGTCACCAAAAAACCAATCACTAGCTAGCTATTATTTTTTGCATTGCTTTTAAATATAGCAAACTACTTATGTAGGGGGTTGAGTGCATTAGGTTTCTCATTACTTCATTTGCTTGCCAAAGGTGCTGCTCACATGAAAGCAGACAATTAAACTTAGCACTCTTCTACCAAATTCACATCCTGACACTAGCTTATCTTCAAACACACTGTAATTGCCAGTTATCGAGCTACTTGCCATAGGGGATAGGAAAGATCAACAGCTTTGAGATTTGTTTTCCAACTCTCTACACACTACTGCATACCAAAACAATACATCCTATTTCCCCTGCCACCCACAAAATTACTTTGTCTATAGGTATCCTTCTTCCTTCTGCTATTGTCTTCTTGTTATTCAAATATGCTGGATAAATGCAGATGAATCTAAAAAGAGAAAACAGTGAGTTTAAGTAAGATCAACTCCTTAATGGTTCATGCAATATTTTCCTAGTAAAACAAAAATAAATCTCATGGCTACAACACAAAAGTTCCCACAGCAGCTTAGAACAACCATCTATCTTCCCTAGACCAACTAGTAAGATATTGCAAAACCCCATTTTGAGTGATCCAGAACACTGTGCGACCATTTGGTTGAAATGTTTCTCGCATGACACCACTTTTTGGGGGCACAGTGTGTACAACAAACAACGCTATCTATTTTGAGAAAAAAAGAAGGCTGAAAGAGAATGTTTTGACCCATTTCTTAAACCCTAACCTAGAAGAAAACATACACGTTTCCTTGAAAAGAATTAAAGAAGATTTCCTGAAAAGGTTGTAGCGCACCAATTGCTGACTAAGTTCTGGATAGAAGCCAGAAGCAGAGTTTTTTTGCTACAGATTTGCCTTTTTTTTTTTTCCTCTCCTATTCACATATAAAACAACCGAGACTTGGGTAAATTTATAAAGCCTCTGAAAAACTATGCTTAAAAACTTGCTAAAGATTTTTCAGCAGGTTTAAACCTGTCAAGCACATACAGGGGACAAGAGTGACAGAACCTCAATTATAGCTCTCAGACAATAAAAAAAACTGGCTGAGGCCTATAAGGAGAGGCTGAAGAATGCTCACATTTGACTGAGCAGCTATGACAGCGTAAGAAAACAGGGAAGCTGAAAGCGAGCAAATAATCTAGAGCAGACTGATGTTCAGTTACTCGGACACTGACAAGGATCACTGATCCTTACTGCCTCCCAGCAAACATCTCTTACTGCCACTAAAACTAGCCTCAGCCATCTCAATTCTTATTACTCTTCTCCTCCTAAATACCTTTTCACTGGTATTTTCCCCTATTAGCTACAGCCCTCTTAACCAGCCAGCTAGGACTTCTGCGCAAGTGGCAGCATTCTGCACAGGAAATTTTGGCTGTCGTTGCTGATGTTCACAACCACCGACGTACTACGCTGACCACCACCATCTCTTGCGCTGCTTACCTTTAAATGATACGGTACGTCAAAAGCGTGACAGGGCAGTATGGCTCCAAGCACTCCAGGATCAGAGACTACCATATCTCAACCACCCACTTCAACATACTCATTGCAATAACCTTCCTATATGACCCTGGCACTACGGAAACCGCCGCCGCCGCGGATCGCGGAGGCGGACCACACTGCCGGTGCCCCGCGCTCCGGCACCGCATGCGGACGGCACCGCTGACCGCTGCCTCTGGGAACCGATCCGATTCACCGCTACCAGGGCTGTTCGGGAGAAACGGAGCACGCCAGCTACATCAAATTCAGCGTCCGGCCATCTTATATGACGCGTTACTGTGATATTACGGCACATATTTGGAAATGTTATTACAACCTGCACG